TTTGGAAACGATTGGTCTATTACCCTTCCGCCATATCATAGACTTTGTCCTTCAAGGACTTCATATTAGAGCATTTGCTGTTGAATTATATCATAGGGTCAGTGCATTCATCTGGCAACTGATTTGCAACATTATGCAACTGAATTATACCTTGAACTTTAAGTTCACATATTTATTTAACGAGGATCTAGATAATTCATAATTAACATCACACATAATTTTCAGCTGTCAATCATCTCTCCCCCTAATGTTAGAAAATCTAACATTCATTCAAACCTTATTTGTAAGTTCATCTTTGTGCGTGGTGGAGCAATTAAAATCATAACCGCACATTCATTATTTTAGATGAAAATTATATGGTTCCTGACCCTCAACCAATTTTAATGGAGAAACCTTGTTGGTTTGATGCATACATGTGTTGCTACATGTTAAATAAAATTATCTCATACCAAATCTTATTTGGGAGTTTTGTTCTCATAACCATGATTTAGCTGTAATTGGAGGCATACAATTTCTACTAAATCAACCAGCATTATTAAATATAATTTCATAGTTTGGAACTGTGCTCTCAATTTTAACAATTCAAGCAAACAACCTTACAAAACCAATTGTAAGTTGACAACAAAAAAACATGTGACCATCGCATAGATGCATCGATCATATAGTTGCAAATGATCCACATGGCATGTGAATGGGCCCATATTCACCCTTTTATATGTTCCAAAAATTTTAGGGGATTACAATCCCAACCTTAGCTGGTACAATGATCATTTTATCAACAGAACAAGCAACACAAGAGAATTCTTGAAGAATCTTTATTTCTTCATCAAATAAGTCACATAAATTCTCAATTACATTTGCATCACATTTAAATCAGAATGGTCAACTGATCATGCCAACTAATCTTTATTTCAATACACTTATATTTTACTTTTGCATGTGATTCCATCAGCATGCCCATGTTTGTGTGCAACAAACACGAGGAAAAAATGGGAAATATTTATAACACTCTTCTATTGTAGTAATTTAAAGATATTAAATCTTTTCATAATTTATAGTCTCAATATTTCTTTTCAATTCATCCGAAACTTAAAAAGTTTCTTTTGAGACTTACTACAATCCAATATTATTCCTTTGATAATAGCACACCTCGTTAGAGCTTGCAATTTAATTTTGTGTACTATCACATATTCCATGACACCATCCCTATGGTGAGCATCTCCTTCAAGGAGGAAATTATATTATAATTGTCATGGTCAAAATCATTACGAGCAAGACATGTTTCTTGCTTTACTTTTGTTGTACCATAGGTACACAAACAATGTCAAATTTGTATTACCAATGACTTCAACCCTTATAGGGAAGAACTATTTCTTTCTTTTGCCCGGTAGTTCACAATAAACATACCATAGTGACGTATAAAAATACAATACCATGAACTATTTCTGGCAAATATAATTATTTCCTCTCAAACCTTCCGTAGAGGTGAATATTGGTATATATCATTTTTTCTCAAACCTCCCATAGAGGTGAGTTGTGACATATATTCAACCCATAAATGATTTTATCACATCTTGACCCATTCTCTTATAGAATGGTCGAGCATTCACGATACTCATCACAAGTCACATTCTCTTCAAGGAATGGACTAATCATTTATATGTACTTCATAAATTTGCATTATAAGTACATTGTCATGATTTTAAAATTCATCATATTTTCATGATACACCTCAACATCACTTTGAAAGATCAAGTGTACCATCACTTTATCTTCTTGTATTTTGATGGAGGATTTATAAACTTGTCAAATTATTTGGTCGACAACATTAACAAGTCCAATGTCCTTTCATACCATTTGATAATGAAAACTGCCTTCACATGTAGAAGGACTATTTGGAGAACCCATAATGTTCTTTCTTTTATAATTACCACAATGATGACTATTATAATTACGTCCCTTCATGCCCTTTTTCATATCGTTAATCATTTGTCATCTTTCAGACTAATTATTTACTGCTACCACATTCATACGATAGAATTGAGCAAGTCAACATCAAATTTCAAAGTTATCATATGTTGCTACCACATTCTTTTCAAGGAATGGAGCAAATTCAATGGGACAAATTTAAAGGCTTTTCATCAAAAGTATATTATTTTTGTTAGTCATCATTTTACCATAGCTATGGTGCATTGACTCAAACTCAATGTCTTACCCATATAAGGCGTGTTATGCCATAATTATATAGGACTTGAACCCAATCATGGTGCATCAGAACTCAAATTGATGTCTTACCCTTTTGGTGCGATAGAACTTGAATCTATCGTCTTATCCTCAAATATTTTTCATTATGGTGCATCCGGACTTTAACCTGATGTCTTACCCTTTTGGTGCGATGAAACTTGAATTCATCGTCTTACCCTTAACCAACGGTATAATAGACCGAAGTACAACATGACTTACCCTTTGAGTCTTTCAAAACAATCAAAATAATATTCAGACTCATGCTATTAAAATTTTATACCTTCTTCCATTTCAGAAGTTTTATATAACATGTCATACTCAACCAATAGTTGTATATGCCTTTAGTTCCTGATAATTGTTAGTGATTGAATACTACTGTATTTTAAATCATAAAAATATTTTAGAAAATACATACGTGATTTTATGCATATAATACCTTGATTCTCATAACGAGATCAACCAAAACATGAGTTAAATAAAAACTAAAACTCAATCTTAATTGGCTAGAGACTCGTGCTGATAACGTGTTATAAAATCAAGCTATAAGAATATAATCATAAAGAGAAGAAGACAAGAGAAGTAGATAGAAGAAGAGGAATTTTCTTCTTATTCAAGTGTACATCCAATGGTGAGTGATATCTCTATTTATAGTGTTGAGATATCACTCCCAAAAGTCAATTAACTAGTAGATACATAGTAATCTACATTGTTATCCAAAAGGGGGGTTCATATCATCTAGGGAATATACATACATGAATTTAGTAGTTCATGAATAAACCAAATGGTCATCCACTATTCTATGGATTTATAACATGTTTATATAATTTGCTATTATTTGGCAAATATCTCAATTTTTCAAATACTAATTTTTTCTAGTATTTGAGTCAAATCTCATTATTTGGGATCTTTTAAAAACTAAAATTTTATCCCAATTTTTTATCTTTTACAAAAAAACTCTCTACAGTAGTTGATTGTGTTGTATTACATAATTTTTTATGGGAACACCAAAATAGTGATGAAATATTTAGTAAATATTAAATAATGATATGATTGTTGATGGAAATGATTAAAAATTGGCTCAAGGTAACAAATTCATGTGCTTTGTATACTTCACGATGTGTAGAATGATGCGTCTTGCAGTCACTCCAAATTAACACATTGTTCTAGTGTCATGGACACTATTTGTTATTGTTGTAATGAACATCCAATTGACTTATAATAAAAACTTATAGTTAGTTTTGATAGTTTTAAAAACTTATAGGCATAAATCATATTTTTTTTAAAAAGGTGAAACATATTTCCCAAATCCTATGGCCAAACACATGGTGAAATTTATCCAAATTTTTACTCAAATAATATTTGCCAAGAATATTTGGAAATTTATGGCCAAACACTACCTTAGTTAATTAATATTTTTTCTAAAATAATATTTTTCTCGAATTTTGACTTGAGTTAGCAAAACAAAAATATTTATTTCGATAAGATAAAAGGAAAATATATTTTCAGACGATCTCTGTATAAATATATGGTATCGTTAATATTATTTTTTTTAAAAATACAAATATATTTAAGATAATTTAATGAAATGAATTCTATTTTGTTTTATTTTTTGTTAAAATTTAAATCTAGTTGAAGATCACCTCAAACGTTTTGGTGTTATGTTTTTGAAATGCACCATTAAATTATGGAAACTTATATATTCGATAAGTGCTTTCTGACGCGTAATTGGTTCAAAAAATATTACTCTGTCTTCCAGCTTTATCATTAACATTATTTTTTTCAATAGTATCCACAATTTGTCCTAAACTCTTAATCTCTGAACATGTATCTTTTTTACTTATCCAACATATTATTAATATCCATTTTACTGTAGTATCTGAGATCATTGATCATGACCTCAAGTTTATGAATGACATTTTCACAAGTGGTTTCATTCAAATTATCTCAAATTTCATCCTCAAATGAATTTTACGGTTTTGAAACAATCTTTAAATAAATAAACATTAATTTATTGATTAAATAATATTTCTATAAAATAATAATATTTATTGTCCCGTCTATATTAATTTGATAAAATTTTAGTGTAATTTTTTTTATAAGTATTACATTGAAAAAATCACTTTATCATTAACAAAAAAATAATAATTAATGTTTGCATTAGTTATACATTCTGTTGTGTGTTAAGGTGTATTGCTAATATCGTGGACTTCTAGTTTAGCAATGTAATAATTTTAATGCATGTGTTAACATAATTAATGAATCAGTTGTTCCTCAAAATCATTTTTACATCTAATCCATCATAATAGCGGAGGGTATATTTGTAAACAAAACCTTTAATATAATGCATGCTACTTTTAATGCAACAAACCAAACAATGTATAAAAATAATTTAAATATAATTAATGCAAGCATAACTAAGTACATGCATTGCTAATACAAATACATGTTAGAACAAAAATACTCAAGAAACTAATTTGAAAAAATAAAAATAGAGTGAACTTATGAAATTCCTTGTGTATATTAATCTGCAGAAAGTCTGAATTTATATAAAGAAAAAACATAAACATTAAAAATAAAATAAGAACATGTGCCATTAACTACCATAAAAGGGGGCCACTAATAGCCCTAATGGGGCCACTAACTTCAGAAAGTTGAGCAACTAAAGTTTACTAAGTCTAGCTAAAAAATAGGAAGCACTAAATTGAAATAAGTAAAAAATAGTACAAATAATAATAAGCTGAAAAAATGCCAATTGTCTAACACTCCTTCTTGGCATTTTTGTGGCAAACACCAATTCTTTGCCTCGGATCTTCAAACCTTTCCTTTGGCAATGACTTGGTGAAAATGTCAGCTAGCTGGTTCTCAGATGAACAATGAACAAGCAACACTTCATTAGATTGTTGGACTTCTCTAATAAAATGAAACTTGATCTTGATATGTTTAGTTCAACCATGAAACACTGGATTTTTTTAAATTGAAACTGCTGAACTATTGTCACACATAAATCCTTCATCATCTTCCTTAGCCAGATAACTTGATTCACAGAAGATGCAACAACTATGTACTCAACTTCTGCTGTGAATTGAGTTGTAATTTCTTGTTTTCTAGAGCTCCAACTAAAACAACTTGTCCCCAAACAGAAAAGATATCCAGATGTGCTTTTGGAATCATCAACTCCACCACCCCAATCACTATCAGAGTACCCGATCAGGTTCATAGTTACTTCGACAGATGTTGGGAAAAATTCTGAACTTGCTAGTTCCTTTAATATACCTTAACACTCTTTTAGCAGCTGTGAGGCGTGTGTCTCTAGACGAATGCATGAACTTAGAGAGAAAACTAACAATAAATAGAATGTCAGGCCTGATTGCGGTTAGATATAGAAGACTGCCAATTAAGCTTCTATACATACTATCATCCATTTTTTCGGAATCCTCATCCTTGCCAAGCTTCACACCAGCAGATATTGGAGTACTCACGGGTTTGCAGTCTTGCATTTTGAACCTGTTTAAAATATCCAAAATGTATTTCTGCTGGCATATGAGAATTCCATCACTGGACTGCAACACTTCCATGCCGAGAAAGTACTTCATGACTCCAAGATCAGTCTTTTCAAAGATTTTCTCCATTTCATCCTTGAACCTTTGGATTAGTTCAATTTTGCTTCCTGACACAAGCATGTCATCCACATAAATTGAGACAATTAAGGACTCACCTGTAGCATTGAATTTCACATACAAAGTAGCTTCACTTTGACTTCTACTAAAGCCAAGTTGGATGAGATGATTGTCCATCCTCTCATACCATGCCCTTGGGGCTTGTTTTAGGCCATACAAGGCCTTTGTTAAGAGATAAACTTGATCCTCTTTCCAGGAGTTGAGAAACCATAAGGTTGCTCTACATAGATCTCTTCAGCAAGCAAACCATTCAAGAAAGCCAATTTGACATCAAGTTGATGAATCTGCCAGGAACTATGAGACGCAAATGCAAGAATACATGAGCAAATGTTTCCTGGTAATCCACACCATATTGTTGTGCATATTTCTTCACCACCAATCTAGCCTTATATTTGTAAATTTTTCCATCAGGATTGAGTTTTGTCTTGAAAATCCATTTTACACCAATTACCTTGCGATTTCTAGGTTTGTCAACAAGCTGACAGGTTCCATTCTTCTCGATCATGTCTAGTTCTTCTTGCATATCTCTCCTCCATGACTGAGAGTCTTGTTCTTCAACATATCTTGTTGGTTCAGAACTAACCAAGTTACACCGCTGATAGACATCTTTTAAGGATCGAGTTCCCCTCACTGATACATCATCCACAAGTTAATGTTCTGAAAGTTGAGGCTGCTCTATTGAAAATGAACCAGAATAAGAGGTCTTCTGATTTTTCCAATTCCAACCAGCTGCTTCATCAAACTTCACTTCTCGGCTGAGAATTAGTTTTTCTGATTTCAAACAGAAAATTCTGTAACCTTTGGATGAACTATAGCCCATAGATATGCCTTTATGAGCCTTGTTATCCAGCTTACTCCTTTTGGAACTCGATAATAACATATACACCGAAAGATTCTGAGATGCTGTATTGATGGTTTGTTCCCACACCAATCTTCATATGGAGTCATGTCCTGCAAGGCCTTAGTAGTCAATCGGTTCAGCAAATATACAGAGGTATTGACTGCCTCAGCCCAAAAATGATTTGGGATCTTTCTTTCGAGCAAAAGACATCTGGCCATCTCCATTACTGTCCTGTTCTTCCTTTCAGACACGCCATTTTGTTGGGGAGTGCATGGTAATGTCAATTGGCGTTCAATACCTGTGCTATTACAAAACTCCACATATTGAGAAGAAGTGTATTCTCCTCCATTGTCAGACCTTAAAGCCTTAATACTAATATTACATTGATTTTCTACTAAAGCTTTAAATTGTTTAAAAACATCAAAGACTTCACTCTTCAGTCTTATGAATTTAACCCAACACATTCTGGTGTAGTCATCAATAAAGAGGAGAAAGTATCTGTTATCACTCAGCGAATTTGTTTTCATTGGGCCACAAACATCCGGATGAATGAGCTGAAGTTTCTGGTTAACTTTTCGTACTTGATTTGCTTGAAATGGCAATTTTGTTTGCTTTCCCTGTTGGCAAGTTTCACAAATTTGAGCATTAAAAAGAAATTCAGGCATATTTTTCACTAGCTCTTTTTTTTCCATCTCGGCGATGCTTCTCAGATTGAAGTGACCAAACCATTTGTGCCATAGGTTTGTACATGTTTGTGAAGTAATAGTGTAAGCCTGCTCAATTATTTTCTCCCAATCAACTGAAAATATTCTGTTGCTCATCTTGACATAAAATAACTCTACTCCAGAAGGGTCAGAAACAACACATTCACGATTCTGAAAATGTAGAGAATAATTCTTTTCAAGCATTTGTCCAACACTCAATAAATTTTGAATCATATCAGGTGTGTACAGAACATCAGAAATAGTTTTGATACCTGCTATTGTTGAGATAGACACTGTACCTCTGCCTTTGACTTCTACTGCCTCACCGTTTCCCACTTTTACTTTAGATTTGTAAGTATCATCTAGGAATTTGAACAGTTCAACATTATTGCACAAGTGATATGTGTAACCACTATCAAGAAGCCATGAATCAGAAGATTCACTGATTGAAAAGTATGAAACTGCAAATAGTTGCTCTTCATGTGCATTGTCAGCTTCTGCTACTTGTGCTTGCAAAGCACCAGAGGCCTTTGCTCTTGATTTGCAGACCTTGGATACGTGTCCCGTCTACTTACAGTTGCCACATATAGCATCGACTCTCCACCAACAATACTTCTCCACATGTGTATTTCTTTTACAATGTTTGCAAGGAGGGAACTTTTGCTTCACATCTCCACTATTGTTTCCTCCATCATGCTTGTCCTTATTCTTTTGGTGGAATTGTTGCTTTCCTTTTTGCTTTTGTACAGAGAAAGCTTCTTTAATGAACTTTTCTCGTCTCATAGTCCTCCTTTGCTCTTGTGCTTGAAGAGCACTCATTAGTTCACCTAATGAAAGTTTGTTCAGGTCCTTGGATTCTTCAAGAGAGGAAATATTAGATTCAAATTTCTCAGGAAGAGTCAAAAGAACTTTCTCCACAATTCGTTCATCTGTAAATTCTCCACCAAGAAGTCTAATGTTATTAACAATTAAGGATATTCGATCAGCATACTTACTGATAGTTTCATCCTCCTGCATATATTCGAGGACTCAAACTCTCTTTTTAGGTTCAACACTTGCATTTGACGTGTTCTATCGCTGCCTTGATATTCTTCTTTCAACCTATCCCAAGCCTCTTTTGCAGTTTTGCAAGCCATGATTTTGTAAAACACAGTATCTGCCACAACATTCTGCATAAGCGACTTGGCTTTAGATTTCTTTGCCTTCTCTTTGTTGTTGGATTTGATCTGAGCCAAGGTAGGATTTGCTGGTAGAGCAGCAAGTGGTTTATCTTCCGTCACAGTTTTCCAAAGTTCATAGGCTTCCAAAAAAGCTTGCATCTTCACAGACCAGATTTGGTAATTTTCACCAGTGAATGGTGGATTTAAAGGTAGGTTGAAAATAAACTGAACTTATTAAATTCCTTGTGTATATTAATCTGCAGAAAGTCTGAATTTATACAAAGAAAAAACATAAATATTAAAACTAAAATAAGAACATGTGCCACTAGCTACCATAAAAGGGGGCCACTAACAGCCATAATGGGGCCACTAACTTCAGAAAGTTGAGCAACTAAAGTTGACTAAGTCTAGCTAGAAAATAGGAAGCACTAAATTGAAATAAGTAAAAAACAGTAAAAATAATAATAAGCTTAAAAAATTTCAATTGTCTAACAATACATTGTATATAACATTATTCTTATACATTCAATTCTACTAAACAATCCTTTAATCATATATCATATATCATATATAAAAGAGAATCTTAGGCTCGTCTACGTGGCGCCATCACAAACCATAATTCTCTTTTAATTTATTTATTTACAATACTATAGTCTTCCCCTTTAATGAAAAGTATTGAAATTTATGAAAAAGTTGTGATTTTAATGAAAAACTGCGATTTTAATGACGACTTGCAACTTTATGAAGAGTTGTGATTTTTATGAAAAGTTGCGACTTTAATGAAGAGTTGCAACTTTTATGAAAAATGTGACTTGTATGAAAGATCGTGACTTTTCCGAAGGGTTGCATTTTTTAAAATAGTTGAAACATTTTCGAAAGATGCAATAAATAATTATTCGCACTAGCGTGTGTTGTCTATAAATAGAGGGATTTCCTCTCATTTTAAAACAACAAATATTCTTAACCTCTTCCTCTTCAGACTTAAATATTTGAATAGTTTGCTCCTGTTGAGTGACTCACTAACACCATTGCTTATATTACCGATCTTGGTATGTATTTTTATAATTATTTATTTATGGTTATGCTATTAAGGATAAATAATAAGATGTAATAATTTTTATTTTCCTTTACATTATTAATGATTATTATGAAGCAATATTTTATGCAAGATTATAGTGTTTTAGTTTTAATGACTGGTAGATTTTAAGTATTATCTTATAAATTCCATGATATTAAGTTTCCACGTGTAGCGCAAGTAATTTTACTAGTATAATATAATTTATCTGACAATATTGACAAGCAGGGATGGACCCACCCTACGTCATGTGGTGTCAACCGACACTGCTTCATTGAAATTCTTTCGTATTATATATATATATATATATATATATATATATATATATATATATATATATATATATATATATATATATATATGTATATATATCTTAAAAATAAAAATATCCTTACAATTACATTAATGACAGTAGTTGAATAATGGAGCCTCTTGGATTGTTGGTTTGTAGTATGAAATCAATGATTAATCGCCTGTTGCAGCCCACGATCGAGCCTCAAAGAGGCTGAATTCTCTTTCATTTTTGAGACATTTTCAGAATTTTTAAAAATATGAATACATTTTAAAATATGAATACTTGTCGACAAAATTTTAGTAGTTTACTTGACTTACGCTTTAAATAGCTTTTATTAATATAATGTTATTATATAAATTATTTACTTATTTACTAATTTTTGAATATCGACACTACGTACAAAAGATTTTGCGTACGTCACTGTTGACAAGTGTCATGAATTTAGACTTCGATGAAACATTGTACTATACTTGACGACTTGCTGATATATTTTTATGATTTTCCAATCTTAAGTAAGCCTTTTAATAATAAATTGCTAAGAGAATGTTGAATAAATGAAAGACACAACAAAATTGCTTTAAAATTTTTTTGTATCACTTAAGACTTAAGATAATTTGTTTGATTCTTGCTTTGTTTCATTACAAATGAACGCTCATTTGCTTATACTACTCACCGAGTAAATTTACCAATATTAATTATGTATGACACTCTATTTAAATTTTTTACAGAACTAAAAGATTTCAAGGATCTATCACGTAAATATATGGATCTACCACGACGGATTAGTCTTATTCCAATGTAAGTTTCACACGGATAAAGCACGTACATGAGTTTCAAATTTTGCAATATCAATAGAAGGGTACACAAAAATCTCAATTCAATTGAAATAATAAGTTGAATGAAAAGTTTTTGATTCAACTATTATTATAGACAAACAACACTAACAAAGATAAAAGTGTCAAACATATACAAGAAATTGACTAAGGATTGATAATATCTGTTTATTATGCAGTTCTAATTTATCGACTCATTGAGTAACTCT